GAAGAGGCAGATTGAGAAGGAGAAGAAGAAGCAGATTGAGCAGGAGAAGGAGAGGCTGTGGCAGATTGAGCAGGAGAGGCAGAGGCAAATTGAGTTGGAGAGGCAGAGGCAAATTGAGTTGGAGAGGCAGATTGAACAGGAGAAGGAGCAGAAGAAGCAAATTGAACAGGAGAGGAAGAAGCAGATTGAGATGGAGAAGGAGAGGCTGCAGCAGATTGAGATGGAGAAGGAGAGGCTACAGCAGATTGAACTGGAGAGGCAGAGGCAAATTGAGCTGGAGAGGCAGACTGAACAGGAGAAGGAGCGGAAGAAGCAGATTGAGCAGGAGAAGGAGAGGAAGAAGCAGATTGAGCAGGAGAAGGAGAGGAAGAGACAGATTGAGCAGGAGAGGCAGATTGAGCAGGAGAGGGAGAGGCTCAGGCAATTTGAGCAGGAGAGAAGGATTGAACAGGAGAAGGAAAAGAAGAGACAGATGGAGCAGGAGAAGCTTAGGCAGATTGAGCTGGAGAGAGAGAGGAAGAGGCAGATTGAGCAGGAAAAGGAGAGGAAGAGGCAGATTGAGCAGGAAAAGGAGAGAAAGAGGCAGATTGAGCAGGAGAAGGAGAGGCTGAGGCAGATTGAGAAGGAGAGGCTGAGGCAGATTGAACTTGAGAAGCAGGTTGAGCAGGAGAAGGAGAGGAAGAGGCAGATTAAACTGGAGAAGGAGAGATTACAAGAGATCGAGAGGCAGAAAGAGCAGCAGTGGAAGAAAATGTCAGAAACTGAAAGAGAGGATGTTGGGGCACCCAAGCGTTTAAAAATGTTGGAGGCTGAGGAGCAGTCTTGCAGACCCAGGGCCACCTATTTCGCCTTAACTGGACAGATCCAGGACCCCATAACCCAGGGTGACAGTGAGGATAGCAAGGTTGCAGGCACAGAGCTGCTCTTCAATGACTTTTCCACTGGATCTGGCAGGAGGGGCACCCAACACAAGATGACTTCATTGCGTAGGAACCCTTCACTGGATGCTGCGTTTCGTGGGGGGTGGGCCGCCGGCTGGACAGAGGAGGAGGCAGAGTCCAAGGCCTTGATCGAGTCTTCAAGTTGCAGTGAGGTGGCGTGGGAGATGGAACGAGAGGCAGAGGGCACATCACAAAAAGAGAGTATGGGGGTTGCACAAGCTGAGCTGGACAGGCCAAGGCAGAAACTATTAGAGCTGCAGAGACACATCAAGGAGGAGCAGGAGAGACAGAGGCACAGAGAGGCTGACGTGGATCTGGAGAAGTGGCAGGAGCAGAGGGTGGAACTCAGCAGGCAGAAGGAGAAGCAGCGGCTCCAAGAGTTGGACAAGCAGCGTCTGGTGCAATTGGAGAAGCTGGAGAAGGGCTGGGAAAAGGAGAAGATGAGAGTACCAGCTATGCAGCAGGAAGTGACCGAGGGGCAAGGTGAAGCCCCATCCTTGCGTCCCCAGGTGCTGGATTTGGATACCATGTCCCTCCAGGACCGGCACTGGGCAGGCAGCCCTAGTGGCTCACGAAAACAGCCATCCTCTGATCCTGACGGACTGTATCATGTGGCTATCTTGGACATTGACTCTTTCCAGGGCCAAACTCAATCAGATCTCACAGTCGACATCCAAGGTGTAAGCAGTGCACCTCGGCCTCAGCCCACCATGTCCAGACAAGCAGGTGTGCCACCTGTAACCACAGGGGATTCTGAGCCCCCAAGGACCCCATTTCAGATGGAATTCCTGGGGCAGGCAGAGAAGACCTCACTGGTGGGGGGGGCACCAACATCAACTCCTTTGTCCCACAGCAAGACACCCAGCAGCCTTCTGACCCCTGTTCCTCCCGCCAAAGTGGCCCCCAAGCTCAGCCTTGAGCAGCTTCTCCAGCGGCACACAGAAAAGTTTTCTGGGAGTGGAAGGGCTTCTCAGGAACGCCGCTGGTCCACTATGTTCGAGGAGGCCAATACACCTGAAGTTGCCCCTCTGGACAACTGTAACTCCTTCCCCAGCTGGGAAACCTTGACAGCCAGGGTTCCTGACCCTCACAGGCTAGGTCGGCTGACCCATACTACTCCAGAACATTCCAGATGGCCCACAGAGAAGGGAGTGGAGCAGGGAGGTGTCCAGAGGAAACAGGACTCGCCAGCTAAGGTAAGGGAAAGGGATGGACGATGGGGGGGGGGGGGGGGGGG